TAGTAGGGACGGGAAAGGAGACTAGAATGTCACCAGCAAAGACAGTCCTTCTAGGCCTTGAGACTGCTTGGGAGTCCACAATACTTGAACTGGGATGCTGTGTTTTACACATAAGGCTTGGGGCTTTGGGGGTGAAGTGTTGGAGTAGGCAAGAGAGAATGAGAAGTCTGAACTACTGACTGGAGGAGTCGGAAAGTTTAGAATGGACTCCACGTGTACCTGAGTGTTTATTTAAATCCCCCTTTTAGGGGAGTATTAAATTATGTATTTACCTAGACACAAAACAACTGGGATAAGTCGATATTTTGTTTATTTTAAAAAAGAAAAGGATCCCAAGGGCTCAGCTTGACTAGCTTGAGAACAGTGGGGATGGGTCTGGAGAGGGTGACCTAGCCAGGATGGCTTTGTATACCCCAAGTGGGGTGTGCCTAGAGAAGGAACTGCCGAGGCCAAGGCTGAGTTCTTAAAAGTGTGGATTTATCAGTAGGTGACTGGGTAGATGGTTCTGGAAATCAGGAGTGAGGTTGGTTTGGATGTTATCAGTTTACCCATAATGACTAAGGCTACAGAAGTAGAGATTGCCTTGTGCTGAGGGAGAAGCGAACAGCCTTGAGGACAGTCAGAGACAGCAGAGCCAGGGGCTAGGAGGGTTCGCAGGCCCAGGTGGAGGTTCCTGGGTGTCTAGTGATGACTTCAGGGAGGAGAGTGGGGGGATGGGGACATGAGGCGCTCCTCTTTGGCTAGAGGATGCTTAGCATCTGGGTGGTAGGGAGCTGACAGGATTTCAAATGACAACCATTCTCGGGCAGTGTGAGCTTGGGTATGGTGGGAAGTTTCAGGGGAATGGGGCAGGGGGCGGTGAAACAGAATGGCTGCAGGAGGAAGTGGCTGACGGCAAGATGGGGACTGAACACCTGGACTAAATAGAGAGCAGCGACAGGATCAGAGAACTGGATGTCTCTGAAAGAAGGGAAAGGCCAGAAACCCCATCAACACGCAGGGGCTATGGAGAGCTTCAGGCAGACCTCAGCCAGTACACAACTGGCAGCTAGTAGTTGCAGACCTCAGTAAACAGTAGGCACCTAGGGAGAAAGACCGCGGTAAACGGTGCCCAGGTGGGTGCAGACCTCAGTCAGCAGACAGGTGCTGCCTATCTGCCACAAGCTGGGCTCTGTCCCAGAAACTGGCATTTGCTGCAGAGACGGGTGCCAAGCGAGACCAAAAGAGGGGGCACTAGCCACTGCACAGCACAGCCCAGTGGCCGGGGACCACTTATCTGCGGAGGCTCAAGGAAGAGCAAATGGCTCACTGCAGCAACACCAGAGCAGGGCTAGATGGACCTCAGGCTGGAGCCTGAGGCAAGGGATGATGGAGAGGTAACGGGTGGAAGGGGTTCTGGGCAATCAGAAAGAAAGCGGTTTGGCCAGTCATATCGCAGCTGGACCTGCAAACCCAGTGCCAGCTAAACAGACCGACAGGCCAGCACCTCCACGGAGGGCTAAACTGACATCTGCACTGCAAGCTCATCACATTCTAAACGGATCTTCTCAAACTTTAATATATGCATGTTAAAACTGGGGTGCTGGGCAAGAGGGGGATTTAGTGGTAGAGAGCTTGCCTAGCGCGTGTGAGGCCCTGGGTTCAATCCCCAGCACTGGAAGAAGAATGTCAAGTTCCAATGCTGACAGAGCAGGGATGGACTCTGCATTTCTTTCTCCTTTGTCTGGCTCTGAGGACCAAACCCAGAGACTTGCACAGGCTACCTCCTCCACCAGCTTTGCACAGCTCATCAGAGCTCAGCTCCTCGGTGACAGCAGTGTTGCAGGTCACTAGAGTACCTTTAAAAATGATTTTCTTGGTGGTACACACCTTTAATCCCAACACTCAGGAGGCAGAGGCAGGTGGATCTCTGTGAGTGTGAGGCCAGTCTGGTCTACAGAGTGAGTTCTAGGCCAGCCAGGACTACACAGAGAAACCCTGTTTCAAAAAACCAATTTTTTTTCTTTTTTACTTAAAAAATGTATATTCCCATTATATACATCATGATGTCTGAAAACATATATACATTGCAGAATGGCTATTTAACATAAGAATGGCTAAACAGAGCTAATTAACACACATTACCCCATATACTTACCTTGTTTTTTTGGTGGTGAGGACATTTAATATCTATTTGCCTAGCCATTTTCAAGAATACAGTACGTTATTATTTACCAGAGCCAATCTATGGTGTGATAGATCTAACATAGGCAGCCTATCCAATGGCTCTCCACCTTCCCGTCGTTTTGGACCGTAGGCTTTTTCCTTACTTGTGTGACAGCTCATTTGTCCTGCGGTCCTGTGCCTCCTCCTGAGGCACTGCAGCCAGCCTGTTAAGCTTTTAGGCCGCCAATGACCTATCTGACCGGCTGATAGTTTGCAATAAACAGTGATAATAGGAGTTTTCACACCACGATAGCCACAAGTCAGGGGACTGTTTGTGTGGGGGAGGGCTGTTTTTGGCTTCCTGTTGGAGAGGGGGTTGTTACCAGCGCTAGCCAACCCGCCATTAACAGTGTTAACACGATCCAAGGGCCTCTGTGTCAGGGGTCTGGAGAGCAAGTCCTGTGGTGGCCAGGGCAGCAAGCTGATAAGGAGATGTCAACATGAAGGTGCCTGGGGGAGGCCCTGAGGCCCTGACTTATCTAGTGCCAGAGTGCCCAACAGAGGCAAACAGAGTACTACCCTATCTGCATGTCCCCGAGTCACCAAGAGGAGGAGAGTTGAGAATAGAAGAGGGAGGTGTTATGGGCAGAGTGACCTGCTGGAAATTCTCATCTATAGGCACCGTCCTTCCCTGGCCATCCCTAGCCAGATCTGTCTTTGTGTATTAGCAGGTGGACATATTCGCTAGAGAGAAGGAAGGGGACTGGTTGGTTCATTTTTATTTTATTTGCTTACTGACCTAAAAAATTGGTGGCAAATTAAAACAAAACAAAACAAACAACCATTCATCTAATAGAGTCAAAAGAAAACCAATGGAATCTCTTTTGGTGACCATTTGAGGAAGAAAGTGGAATCCTACTGCTGGAGAGAAATAAAAAAAGGGTATGGGTGGATCTATGCTTTTGACCTGTGGGGTATGCCATTTTAATTTCCTCTTTCTTTTTGTTTAAATTCTTTAATTTCACAAACCTGCTTATTAAGATTGCAAACTCTCCGGAGTCCCTCAGCTGTTTGGCAGATGAATCACTGCCAGCTATGCTCAGGTTACTCCTAGAGAAGCTGAAGCTCCAGTGGCTAAATATCCCTGCCCAACTGTCCACCAGACGAGGCTGAGTTGGCCCCGAGGCTTTGAAGACAGTGATGGCAGATGAGACCATTCCAGGGACTCTCAGCCCTCGGAAAAGTGAGCGCAGGGACACACACTCCGGTTCATAGGAACCACGGCTGCCCAGGAGTCCTGACGTCCAGAGCAAGGCTGTGCTATAGCCATGGTTCAGAAAGCATCTGTCAGTTGGGTTAGCTCCCATGGAAACTGTACTGGCATCTGGCAAGGAGAAGAGCTGCTATCTGGATGGAGAGGGAGAACAGAGGCTTTGGGATGAATTCTCTATACATCTGGGATGTGAGGATGCAGACGGTCTATACGTGTGTATGCCTGATGGAGGGGTACACTCAGCTACAGCTCTGAAGGTCACATCTCCTTTCCTTGCAGGGGAAATGGAGGTCAGACTAGGCCAGGTCTCTGAGACAGCTGCCATCTAGGGCCTGACAGGGTCTCCCTATCCCTAATTTAACTCCTCCCACCCATCCATTGTATTCTGTAGGTGCCAATGACTGTCTAGGCAGGAGGCACAAAGCTGTAGAGGAGCTACACCTCTGCCCTTTTAGTGAAGGAGCAGAAGAACTAGCCCAGAGATGCAGGGATGGGGAAACTGACCGCTGAACCTAATACCCACAGAACAGCGGGATGGATTGCCAATGTCAGACCCAGCCACCCCAGGGATTCTAAGCTTCTCCCTACCGGGTTCCTCTTCTACAGCAGAGTGGAGCAGGGCTGGGACAGGTCACATGGGAGGTGACGCTCCTCGAGGACTCAGGAGATAGAGAGAAGGCAGGCCTGAAACCTGGGGATCAGGACCTGTTTATCTCATTGACCTCAGCAAACTAGGGACAGGGCCTGTTGGTTGGGTGTTAACACAGGGCTGCAACATTAGTAACGAGAGAGAGAGAGAGAGAGAGAGAGAGAGAGAGAGAGAGAGAGAGAGAGAGAGAGAGAGAAAGAGGTGTTTTATAAATAGGAGAGGCACAGGAAGCCTGTGTAATAGCAGAATGGAGATGGGATGACTCTGTGTGTGTGTGTGTGTGTGTGTGTGTGCGCGCGCGCGCGCGGGCGGGAGTAGGGTTATATTGGAGTAGGGTTCACTTCTAGCTAAAGGATGTCTTAAGATTACTATATGGATGTAGGAAGCCACTCTGGACTTACCGGACTCTCAAAGGTACCAGTCTGGGGTGAAAGGCACGTGAAAGAAAAGTTGTATGGTGTATGCCTGAGCTAGCTCTGCCTGCTTGCTGGCAGGTCCCAGTCCCCAGAGCCTGGAACATGAAGGGGAAGGTATGCTACTACTCATGTCTTCTTTCTCCTGAGGTGTTTTTGCTGGGTATAACTAACTGTCTGTCTGTTTCTCTATCTTTCTCTGTCTTTCTATCTCTGTCTCTCTCTCGTAGAGTTAGGGATCATGCAGGCCAGGCAAGGACCCCGATGCTGAGCTATAGCCCCAGGCCTACAACTGTATTATTCAGGGTATTTTTGGGTGTTGCTCTAGGGGGAGAGGCGGCTCTGCTGGGAACCCTCCTTCCCACAGGATTTTCTAGTATCAGAGCCTTCTGGAATGAGTAGCACCCAGAGTGCTAAACCATGGAAACAAATGGTTAAAAACATGCCCTCTCCCCTCCAGCTCAACCCCAGAAGTGCCTGTCACAACCAAATCAGGCTAGAAGTCTGCCGACAGCTTTACCTGTTCCAGATCCTACAGCATCGCGGCTTGGTGACTCGGCCATGGCATCTGCGAGCCGTTCCCGGAGGCCCTCCTCTGTGTGCTCCATGGAGGACATGTGTCGCAGGCCAAAGCCCTCAGGCCAGCTCCCACACACCTCCAGCAGGGTCACGCTCCGGTCGAAGGTACCTGCAACACATATGGGATGTAAGCACAGTGATATATTACTTGTGTTTGAATAAATAAAACTTGCCTGAAGGTCAGTGCAAAGCAGCACACTGGTCAGCCATACAGGCCAGGCAGCGGTGGCACACATCTTTAATGCCAGCAGTCACCCTAGTTAGTCACAGATGCTGGGCAGTGGTGGTGCACACCTTTGATCCCAGCACTAGAGAGAAATATAAAACGGGAGGAGACAGGTCTCAGCTCAGTCTCTTCCTGAGGATTCCTGGAGGCAGGATCACCATTTCAGTATGAGGTAGAGGTAAGAGCCAATGGCTGGCTGCTTTGCTTTTCTGATCTTCAGGTTGGACCCCAATGTCTGTCTCTGGGTTTTTATTAGTCGTGCTACACATAAGATGTTGAGACCAGACCTTCAGAGGGCAGACTATTCTCTGTCTACCTGCCACCTACGGCCTGGCAAGCCCAGAGCCAGCTTAGTCTTTTAACCAGAAGGATAAAGGATGGGTGGCTCAGGAACAGGGGTGCGTGAGGCCGAGAACATAGCTCATGCCCCTGGGTTGGAGAGCACACTTCCAGGAATGACAGCTATGTGGCTGAGGCGCCTGGAGTTAAAACGGTCTCTTAGGGGTCTCCAGAGACTTCTGAGAGCTCGTACAGAGGGAAAGAACCCCTTCCCAGGTTCTTCCCAAATAACCCTGCTGTTCCCTGACATAATCACTCTCCACCTACAACCTCAGGGATGGTGATAGGGGAGGGATGTAGCTCAGCTAATCGACGCTTTCCTAGTACACATGAGACTGGGCACAATCCCCAGCACCAAATTAAGAAACCCAATGATGTGCCTGTGAGCCTAACCCTTGGGAGGTAAGAGGCAGGAGGATCATAAGTTCAAGGTCATTCTCAGTAACAGCGGTGACTTTGAGGTTAGTGAGGCAAGGTCTAAAATAAAAGGCGGCCTGGGGAGATGGCTCAATGACAAAAGTCCTTGAACGTGTGCTTGATGACCCAAGCTTGGATCTCCAGAACCCAGGGAGTAGCAGAAACATCTATAATCCCAGTGTTCCTATGGTGAGATGAGAGACAGAGACAGCAGAGTCCCTAGAAGCTCGTGGGTGGGCTAGCCTGGTCCACACAGTGGTGAACAATAAAGGGACCCTATCTCAAGAAAGGTAGACGACCAAGACTGACACCCGAGATTGTGGTCTGACTTTCTTTTACACACTGTGGCACATATGTAAGTGTGCACGCACCCACCACCACGAAGATTAGTAAGAGGGGCTTATGCTGTCTAAGCTTAAAAACAAAAAAGCTTCCTAAGCCACTGTACCCTAGAACTTATTCCCAGCCTCATTTACAGTTACGGCTTAGCGAGGTCAAGAGCTTAGACTAAAAGCAGGCTGAGACAGACTTGGTGCCAGGACTCAGATGTGCTGATGCCTCGGGCTGGAACTCGTTCTACCTCACTGCAGATCGGCTCCCAGCCGTCAGGGACATGGGCAAGTGCGGGGTACCGTTTCAGGGATGTGGGTGATAGCATCTTCGGCAAGGGTCCCTTCTTAATCCAAACCTGCTCCCGAGTTCCAGAAAGTACACTGCGTTCCGCTGAACCCAAGATTAGACGTTACGTGCAAGACCACTTCAAAGTCTGAGTTCAGGCGACTCGATTTTACTCTACGGCAAGTTCACGGAGAAAGCTTATTTCATCCAGCCTCTCTCGGAAAGAGATTATGGTCACAGTCTGTTGCTTTAAGCACATACCATTTCCCTCTCGATTAGGTAACTGAATCCACTACATTTATTGGGGCTTGGTTCCTGCCAGCTCCAGGAGGACCAGGAAAAAAAAATGCAAATGCTGACGTTTCCCCAAAGTTAAAAGTACATGAAACACACACTCTTTATCAGGTCTTGTTTCTCCTCTTTGATCAGCCGTCAGAAACTATCTTTCCTCGGTGGGCAGGACTGGGCAGTGTCAGTGCACACTCGCTGCCACTGACAGGTGGTAATAGAGAGGGTGCGAGCCCCAGCCCCGGCGGGCGGCCCTGCCTGTGATAACGGCCCCAGCATGGAGGTGATAACCTTTAGTAAACACTCCGACAGCCTGTGCCTTCATACATCAGCAAAGTGGGCCCGATAATCCTGAACTCTCTGACCAGACAAAGGACTCGGGCTGGCCGGCTGGGATTTATATGTGTGGCAAGGGTCAGTGCCGGCTCCTGAATTTCATCAGGCAAGTTTGGCTTTGATTTATTTCTCACCTAATTGTGAGGTAGATTCCTGCACAGGGAGAGCGGGCAGCATCTACAGAGGCACTTCCCCGGGAAGGGGCCTGCCTTGAGTGTGTGGTCCTTGCCATCAGTTTATCAGGTGGGACCTCAGCGTGGGAAGCGGCCTTCCATTGGACAGGATTCGGATGGGGGTTTGGGGGCCCAGGCACTGGAACTCAGGGGTGGGGTAATGAGTGCCCCGATCCCTAAAGGACCTAAGCTGAACTATAGCCATGCACTAGCAGGAGCCAGGGCCACAGTTGACACTCCAATGTTAGCAACAGCTTCCAGGAGTGTGTCCCCAAGGCCATCCACGAAGGACAGAAGTAAGCACGCAGATTTCTTCCTCCTTAGTCATGTGGGGACTGACAGGCGAGCAGTCCTGTTCTCCTAAGCTCACAACAAGGATCCAGAGCCACATCTCCTCTGCTCCAAAGAGCCAGCCTGGGGCACCTGTGCTCAGTGACAGCAGAAGAGAAGGTCTACCTTTCTCTCTTAGCTTCATCTTAGAGTCTGGAAGCCTGGGAATGGAGTGGCCACTCTCGTCACAACAGCAGGGTATCTGTCACTAAAAGGGTGTTGGTATGTAGTGTTTAGAGGTCAGGGCAGGGAATTGGAAGCAGGAACATGAGGATGGAAGCCAAGTCAGGGAGACAGAAAAAAAATCAGAATAAAGTTGTAGCAAGAGGGGTTTGGGGAAGAAATGGAACAGACAACAAGAAGGCTTTGGGAGAGAGGTCCCAGTCCACAGATAGTAAAAGCCAGAGGAATATGTACGTTTTCGGTCTTGTTTTTAGGATAGGCTCTTACTATGTAACCCAGGCTGGTCTTGCTATGGCAACCTCCCTGACTCAGCCTCCTACGGGTTGGGGTTATAGATATGTGTTACCATATCCCCTAGTACATAATATATGAAGGGACAAAGTAGCAGGGGAGTCATGCGTGGGTGTTAAGAGTTGGGACTGGAAACCGACCTCGGATAGAATGCACAGTCTCTGACCTCTACAAGCTGCTAGTTCTAGGCAGGCGCCTCAGACCCTGCACCCACCAGAACTCATGCAAGCCCAGAGCCACTGTGGGGACCGAGCTAGATAAAAGAACGCACGCGACACATTCGTGCTCTGCATATAACAGGTGTGTTTGTGGACATGGCAATACCATGCGGAATGGCTCAGTGGGAGAGTCTTTGCATAGCACATTGGAGGCCCTGGGTTTGAGTCCCAGCACTGCAAGTAATAACAATGACAGTAACTATCTTGACGACAACCATAGCGCCCCTGGAGGTGGCACCACACATTTCAGCTGTCACAATGACCCTAGCATGGGCACCGAATGCCTGACACACCTGGAGTCTGTGAATGACAGATGTGGAACGTAAGCTTCCCCATCACACTGTTAACACCCATGGTGCTTCCTTTAGTGGCACCTGCTGCAGAGAGCAGGTACAGGACAGATCACCTCTACCGTCCTAATGTGTGTTGAGAATGCCTGTCATCTTCAACCAATGCTTTTTAAAAGGCTGCTCACCCTGAGACCAGCCCACGATCCTTGCAGTATCGTACTCATGACTCACCCTGTCTGCCTGATGAACTCAGGAGAGCACAGACCAGCAGCTCTAATCGCTTGGCATGGGCACAGCTAAGAAGCAGTCCATGGGAGAACCCGAGTGCCCGGGAGAGGCCCTCGTTCCTCTCTGTTGTCCTGAGATGCACCCTGCTAAACGGAGGCCCCGAGGAGGCTCTGATCCCCTTTCCTGGGCAGCCACTGTCTGAGGAGCCTGCCATACAGGAGTGAGAACAGGGCAGCAGGAACGTGGGGATCCGCAGGTGCTGGGTGAAGAGGCTAAGCCCTTGGAGGATGAGGTCACTTCTGGCACTTAGGAAACTGCCCATCTTGTCAGTGTTGACGGAATAGCTATCCTTTGTTTGACTGGCCCAGAGACACTCCCTGGGATAGGGGATGTTTGTGTCCCATTATGGAGACAGGACTGTTTCAGGGGGCTATTTGCAGAGCTCAGGGTACGCGCTTGGCAACCAGGGCCTGTGCTGAGGATGTTTACGAGGCCGTCTCATGCCAGCGGTTCCATCCGACTCACGCATTCATCCAATATTGATCAGCGTCCACTCTGATATGAGTCAAACCTTCTTCTAAAGGATGACGAAGGCGCGTGAGGGGAAGGTGCTGAGTCCACAAAACTATGTGAGCAGCAACTACTGATGTCCCCTGAGCTAGAGGGCCAAGAGGTGACTGGTTTTAACTGGTCTTCCTTTGGGAACTCTTCCCTCTAGGGTTCTCCCCTACCCTGTTAGTCTCCAAGTCTGATCTGCTGAGGAAACTTCCCCAGGGGCAATAAACACAAACCCCCAGGCTCTGACAGTGTAGCCGGTGACTTTATCCTTTGCAGCGCAGGAGGAGAAAGTTATGAATTTACCAAGAAAAATGTGTGATTGGGTCTGAGCGTCCAGCTCAGAGGCAGGGTGTCTTCCCAGCTTGCTTGAAGCTTTACATTCAATTCTCAACACACACACACACACACACACACACACACACACACACACACACACAGAGAGAGAGAGAGAGAGAGAGAGAGAGAGAGAGAAGACACAGAGAGACAGAGACAGAGACAGAGAGAGAAACTGAAAGATACGTACCTCTAGGGCTGGGATGTGGTGTGGCTCAGTGGTAGAAAGTCTGTCTAACAGATAGGAACTATAAGACCCTACATAAGGGTTTGATCTCCAG